CTACCACACCCGGCTAATTTTTTGATTTGTTGTAGAGATGAGGTCTCGCCAAGTTGCCCAAGCGGGTCTCGAACCCGCGGGCGCAGGCAATTCACTCACCTCAGCCTCCCAAGGCCCGGGATTACAGGCTGAGACATTTTGTTTTTCAAGTACTATATTGAGCTAAAGCCTTCTAACTGTGACATATTGTGGCTACCACTTATGGGGCAAGTTGACCCTCCTCCATTTTCTGGGCCTTGGTTTTTTCACCAGCAAAATAGACATTAGTACGATTGAGTGACCTTTCAGATCTCTTCTGGCTCTCTAACACTGGTACCGTTTTCAAAGAAGCAGTATTGGAGTGGAAATGTTATTATTGTCTTTTAACTAGCATGCTCTTATCATTTTTGTTCCCACTAGAAACATATAGCTTTTCTACACTTCCCCTTTACCACAAATTTAAACACCATCTAAATAGTGGGCTTTTCTCTACTGGTCTTTACTATTTCAAAGTTTAGCTGCTGATATTTTGCCAACTGTGACATTTTAACATTGTGGCTTTGGAGTCTGACAATCTGTGTGCAAATCAAGGTTCCCCTATGTATTATTTCAGGCAAATGACTTAATCATTCTAATGCACACAGCACTGAGTTATTATAAGGACAAAATAAGATCATATGGGAGTGCATACAGTTCGGTGCTTGGAACATTATCAGGGCTCAGTAAAGAGGAGCTGAATTCAGGGCTCACTGGGCTCTTACTAGTATCCCATTTCACAGATGAAACGGAATAATTTGATTTTTACTATGCCCTAGGATGGATCCCATTTCAATCACTGAAACCACCTTAGATTTTTTTTTTTTTATTCCCTGTCCTCGTGAGAAAAGTGTGAGAATTCCTCATTGTACTAAAAAAAATTTGCAATAGTGAGTTCTCTTTCCTTCACAGAGGTTTGCAAGTATAAGGATGAGTGAAAGGCAAGACGTTTTTTTTCCTTCTGGAACAACTTGCTGTTTGAGAAGGAGGTGATATTTCTAAAGCTTGCATTACTGTCCTTTTAGTGCCAGATAAATTGAAAATCGTTCTCCAAAACAGTCTCCTTTTAGTCATGACATGGACAAGCGTCCCGTACTCACATAATCAGGCACTAGGCAGGAGAGGGAGGGCAGGGGAAAGAAAGCCTGGTGTTATTTTAAAGAATAGCTGCTTCTCTGCCAGAGAGACTCTTCACATGGGAGATGGTTTGGGGACACTTTTTGGAGGTTTTGATGCCTTCTCAGAGTGAGAACAGTGTGGGCTAGCAAATGTTTGCTAAGACCCTGCCAAGATAATTCTCCTGGTACCAAGGTCTGTTGCAGCTTTGTTGTGGGAGCTACAGTCATTATTTCTAGGTTCCTTGGTTGGTTTACCAAGTGCATCTAGGGCCACTTGTTTTGAATTCTTCTCCTTTCCTCCAGTTTGGAAAGACTTACAGGAGTTCCATCAGACCACTCCCAAGAGTCAGCATTCAATGGGTTTCTTTTATTAAATCCAATCCAGAACTGCCTTTCTTCTGTCCTAGGAAGAGAAGAAACAAAACTTTTCCATCAGATTCACATTATGCCAAAATTTCAAAAAATATTTACTTATACAGGAAACAGCTGATGCTACTGGCAGGATTGATCAGATCAACAGATATCTATTGAGCAATTTTTGTGTGCGAAACCCTGTGCTGTGGAATGAACTGAGGGAAGATGTAGCCTTACATTCTATTTCCCTTGGTTTGTGTGGTTCGCTCACAGGTGATAGACTGTTGGGAAAAATTCAGCCCATATTGAGAACATGGGTTTCTCATCAGGAATGGCAATGCCTTTCAATCAGGCAGGAACACGTGAAGGCAAACTGGTAAGACATTTTGCAACATGCCTTCCCTAGAGGGCCTTTCACTACTTTGCTATATATTTATTACTTTATTATCATATTTATACTACTTTACTATGCTTTGATTTGTTGTTTTGTGTCAAATATTTATGTGTTCTCTGAAAGTTAATCACCACTATCCCTATTTAATAAAAGGTACACAGTAGGTTTGGGGTTTTTTGTTTTTTTTCAAAATAGATCTCAACATAAAGAATTCCACAGCAAGCCAGCCTGAGCCATGGTAGATTAACTTCAGCAGTCACCATTGGTTTAGACTTGGTGAGAAGCTCCACAGAGAATCAGCCTCCCTCCTATTAGGCAGAGTACAAATATGTCAAACCACAGAGTACTCAATAAATCAAGCAATAAAGCCTAATTATACCATGGACCATCTCACTAAGATAATTTTCTGAGAATAATTTTGAAGAATTAAAGATTTAAAAGATTCAGAAGTCATGACAGATGCTTTATTTTCCTTAGTACAGAGAAGCAAGCCTATTCCAAAGGATCCTTTCTCAGATATTTGAGACCCTCTGCCTGAATGATACATATTAAAGTCCAGTGCCACTTAGAAAATCCGAGAGATCACTGGAGCCAGGTTGGTCACCGTCATGATGACACCTTACATTTAGATTGGGAGAAGGTGAAAATGGCTGCCTTGAGGTTAAGCCAGGCACATTAATCTCTGTGGCAAAGGTGGGAAATACACATCACTCTCCCTGAGACTGTTAACTTTTTTTTCCTTGCTGAATTCAGCTCTACATTTTTCCTCCTGTACATTGGCTCCTAGAAGATGAACTGGTATTCATTTTCTCTTCATCAATTTCCTAAAATTGGATAATTTTCAAATAAACACATACATATGTGTGAGTATGTATATGAGTGTATGTCTGGCTAATAAAATAGAAATAGAAAAGCAGTGCCTAATAAAAAAATATTGATGTTAAAAAAAAAATCAACAGGGTGCCTGAATGAAACGTATTTGTATACCTAACCCTTAACTGTACCCCACAATATCATAATAAAAAAATAATGATATATAAAAAAGAAAAAAAGAAAAGCAGTGCCATGGAAGAAGTGCATACATGCTAACTTATGAAATCTGGTATATTTGCTATAACTAAGCATTAGATTTGACAGACTTCCCCAATAGTCTGGCAAAAATGAAACATATATTATTCAGTTTTTGTGATTAGATGTTGAAGATTGATAGATCGATAATTTGATAGATGCTTGGCACTAAATTCTACTAGAAATTTCAAATGTAAGAACTTACATAAATAGAAATGGCAGTGGTATTTGATTTTAAAGCAACCCTGGAGGCAGTTTGTGTGTGGTTGTGCCAGATAGCAAACCTCACTAAAATGCAAGGGCAGAATATGCAAATATGTTTTTGCAAGAGGTTAAAGTAATGAAGCAAAGTACAACTTAGAACAATGGTGACTATCACCTATCCCTTGGATCTGTGGCTTCATACTCAGCTAATAACCAATTAACCAGGAAGCTTCTTAAACACTTCTTCTGCCACAGAGAGTCTGATTCAGCAGCTCTGGTGCGAGACCAGAAACCTCTGTGTTAAAAGGTGTCCTGACAGGCTGTGATGACTAACCAGGTTCCAGAATAAGCATTTCCTGTAGGTACTAGCAGTTCTGTGAGATGTTAGTACATGTTCTTTAAAAAAAAGAATTCTGTGGTCAAAGAAACTGCTTCCTTCTAGAAAGTGCTTCCTTTACAATGCTAATGTACACGGCAAATTTCCAAGATTGTACATTGTTTTGCAAACATGTTTGATCATAAAATCCCTTTTCCCCAAAGAATACTCCAGGAGACTCTCATTGGGAGATGTCAAAAAGTTCAACCTTTAAGGTCAATTTTTGCAGATGCTGAAGAATAATTTGATATATGTTACATATTAATCTTTTTATGTTAGTGACCTACAAGGAAACTTATGGGAAAGGCCAGGATTTTCCTCAAAAACCAAAACCAAAACCTGAATTTTCCTTTTAAAAAATCTGGATTTTCTCTGGGATTTAGGCAAGTCCTTCACTGAGACTCCAGATTTCCAGAGCTTGGTGCACAGTACCGGGTATTATATTTGTTTCTATTAAATAAAATGTATGAAGTCATGAATGTGTGTCACCTTAGACCACATCTTCAGGGACAGGATTTTTGTCTCTCCTGTCTACTGGATTCTCCAGCAGCTATGCATGTAACTGCCATTTCCATAGAAGATAGATACTTCCAAAATGTATGCTGACTGACAAGAACATTCTAGAATGAGAGGCCAAGAGCAGGGGCTCCCCAAAAGGAGACATGAGTAGACTTGATCGGTATTGCTGGAGCTCCAAGCTGAGTGAAGGCAGATTGCTGGCTTACTAGAAAGTTGCTCTTTGAAACCACCCTTCAACAATGGAACAGGCTTTCTCCCAAGTAAGGAACATTCTGAAAATGGAAGGAATTATGCAGACAGTGGATGAGCATGGGAATGTGATGAAAGGAATTCTTACACTGGGTAGGAGGTAGCATAAGACTTTTCTGATTTCTTCCAATTTAAACTTAACTGAGTTTCTAACTCCATGGAATTCTGTAAACTTGCATGATGGATAAAGATAAGTAAACACTGTTTTTTTCAAATGTAAAATTAGGAGGTTGGGTTGGAACTAAAAAAAAAAATAAGTGGGCACTTTTTTTCCCCCAAATAAAATCATACATGAATTCCTGTTAGATACAAAATAATTATCAGTGAAACTGGTTGGAGCTGCTCTGGTGAGCCATCAAACAAGGAACCAGGAGCTTTCCCTAACTGGCCTCTTCCTACTCCTGGGATTCCAGGATCTTTGGAATCCTCAGACAACATAATGAAAACCACTGGGTGAGACAGTTTCTGAGTTTGGCAGCAAAGTTCTCAATCTCTGACTTGAGGCACACAGAAAAGATTTCAAATATCAAAACAGTTGTCACTTTGTTTTCTAACTTGAGAACCTAGTGCAATAGAAATATAAAACTATATATTTTTCTTTCATAATTAGTTGTTAGTTGGCTTTGGGCTTAATACAAATACTGGAGTTTTAAACAACTATTTAGAATACTCATCCCTAACAAGCAATTACTGGGAGATGGATTATTCAATTGTAATTGTTCAAAATTAACAATTTTTTACCAATTAAATTTTGAACGTAAAAGCTCATTCACAAAATTTTCTTCCTCAATATGGGCAAAGCTTGCAAGATGAGCTCCAAATTCTTCACAGAATGCCTCAGCTTCTCTCCATGTTCTTTTCATCAAGACTTTTTCACTATGAAAAACCTGTACAGTAAAAGGAAAAAAAATTAACACTGTCATGAATACAGTGAGGCTGTTTAACTCTGCTCAAGAGAATAACAATAATATAATTGTCATTATTCTTTATTAAAAGCTTTACCTAGTGGAAAGAAGTAACATTTATTGAATTAGAATTTGCTTAATCATCATCAAACTGTTAGCTCATTTTATCCTCACACCACATTTCTGAGGAGAACATAATAAATTCAGTTTTATAAATGAGCTTTCTGAGGACTTTTTGCTCCCCACTAAATCAGTGAATGGCATGACTGACATGTACTTGTCCCTTAGTAAATGTTTGTCAAGCGATGAAGGAAGGCTAAGAGAGGTTAAAAATTTTAGGTCCACACCTCATCAACAAAGGTACTTTCATAATGAATATTTGTATACCTAACTCTGAATTGTACCCCACATCTTTAAAATAAAAAATTTTTAAAAATATGGCCGGGCTTGGTGGCTCAGCCTATAATCCCAGCACTTTAGGAGGCTGAGGTGAGTGGATTGCCTGAGCCCGTGGGTTCAAGACCACCCCAGGCAACTTGGTGAGACCTTGTCTCTAAAATAAAAAATAAAAAAAATAGCCAGGCGTGGTAGCATGCGTTTGTAGTTCTGGCTACTTGAAAGGCAGAAGGATCGCTGGAGCCCAGCAAGTTGACGCTGGGGTGGCCGTGAATATGTCATGGCACTCTAGCCTGGGCGATGAAGTGAGACTCCAACTCAAAATTAAGATAAAATAAATAAATAGGAAAAAAATTTTAGGTCACACAGCTATAAACCGGCAGAGTTAGGATTAGATCCAGGAGTCCTAGCTTTCAGAGTCCATGAATTTCCATCCCACCAGACTATCTTCTGACAAATTTGAATTAGTGGTATGATCATGACTCTGGCTGACCCATGGCAAGAAATGAAGAATAAGACCTGAGACCAAGGATGGGTATATTTCTAGGGTCTTTAGATCTTAGCTGAACTAGCAGGGACAGTGGTTCTGCTTTGTCTAAATTCTCTGCTGTTGGTAGCAGCAAGAAGTCAGCCGAATGGAGGATCTGCTTCTGGCTTTACTTAGGATTGCGGTGACGGACTAAAGACTCAGAGCTCAAGAACCCGATTCTCTGCACTCTTTTCATTTTTAACCACCTGATACTAAGCCTGAATCTCTGTTGCCAGGCAGGTATACCCTGTGGTTAGCCTTCACCAGGCTCTGATTTGCTGAGACCTGAATGAATAGCTTTCCAAATCCTGTGGACCACAGCACAAGCTTTCCATCTTTTAAATTATATGTCAAAACTCACCTCCTCTGGGAACCTCTTCCCAAATCACTCTAAACTCATAAATCCTACCAAAGTGTGCATCACACACACTGTGTATTTGTTGACATATCAGGGTGACATATAGTAGAAAAAGCACTGGACTGAAAGTCTCAAGACCAGGGATTTATTCCAACTCTGACAATAAATAATTGTGATCCTGGGCAAATTGCTTCATTTCATAGGCCTCAGTTTACTCCCTTCGAAGGTTTAATAGATTGCTCTGTGAGGTCACTTTTGGGCCTATGATTTTATGAGTTTAATGTAAAATTATACATATGTACAATATAAATGGAGTGCATTCACAGGTGTTCCATGCTGTCTACAAGCTGCAACAGCTCTGGAGATAGAGTCTGTCTTCATTCTGTTCTGCATGAGCCCAGCTGCTTGAATAGAACATTCCCCCAAGAGTTGGTGAAATCGCTTTTTGTAAAATGAACCAAGATAAAACCATGAAACATAAAAACATCACATTTCAAAAAGTGCATTTCTGACAAGATTGTAGAAACTGACTTAAATATAGGATCTAACTCTGATTTTCAAAGATTTTTTTCACAGATTGCATATATATATGCACACATACATACACACATATTGTACACACATACATACACATACATGTCAACTATATGTGTCAATTTGTTTGATTTTCAGGTGTTGGGCAAGCTGCAAAAGCTATCCTTATTAGAACTGTATCATTCCATAACACAGACTTTATTCACTGGTTTAGAAATAATATGAAACTGCATCATGCTAATACCCAATGAATGTGTCTGCTTCCATCTGGCATATGTTTGGCAATAGAACAATACTGACTGTGGTTTCAATATTGCAGGAGGACAGGTCCCCGCATGACCCTTGCTTGCAATCCTCAGGCAGAATGTACAAAGCATGCAACATCCTGAGGAAGGAGGACTGTCCTTGTCCCTCGTAGTATAGGATGTCTTGCAATGCTTAAGCCCAGTGATCTGAGTTGCACTTGGAGACAAAACCCAGAAAGGAGTGCTTTTGGGAGCCTTCAGATGTGGTGCAAGTGAGGCATGGGCAGACAAGATTCCATCTTCCCTGGGCAGTTTTCCTGAGTGTTGGGGAATGGCTCCCCATGGATCCTAGGCTTTTGCTTCTTACTGCCTATATTTGAATATAAACTGAGCATGTCAAATCTGAAAATTTGAACTCCAAAATCAGAAACTTTTTTAGTGGTGACATGATGCTCAAAGGAAATGCTCATTGGAGCATTTTAGATTTTGAATTTTCAGATTTAGGTTGTTCAACTGGCAAGTACAATGCAAAAATCCCCAAATCCATAGGAACCTAAAATCCAAAACACTGTGGTTCTAAGCATTTTGGATAAGGAATACCCGTCCTATAATAAAGTCGCTTTGCCTGACTTCTTGTGCAAGAGTTCTGTTTACCAGACTCATACTCTGGCATCTGAGTTTGTGCAAAACTTCCTGCCAGATCAGGGAACTTAGCAGAAACTGGTCAGGTGTCCTCTCCCAGGATTGGTAACCAGTGTGTGGTATTTCTGCCCAGGAACTAATACTGGCGTGTGGTTTTTCTGCTTAATAGATATGTCTTCATGAGGAAGACTTCAGTATCACCAGGATGTGCCAATTTTTTTTACTTAAAATTATTGGAACATAATTGAAAAGACAGAGACAGGCAACAAATATTGATTAACCACCTGCTGTCTGCCAGGCACTGTTCTGGAAAGAAAGGTGCTGGAACAAAGAATTTGGGATACAAGAATCAAATTGAAATAGAATTGTTCTTGCCAAGAATACCCATGTAACCTTAGTATTACCTTAAAGCAACTGGCCAGGCCAGGCTCTGACTCCCAGTCCAAATAGCAAGAATGAAAGGGCCATCTCTCTTCATGTTCGGCTTTCTCTCGATTTTCAATTGGCTGCTTGCACAGGGACATTGCCTTGAAGCGTCTACAGTCCTTCACTTCCCAGCGACCAAACGGACGACTTCCTTTCATGGCAACACAGCCACCACTGTAGCCTAAGAGCAGAAATCACGCATTTTTAAAACCAGACAACGAAAACGTTTTGTGCTGAGAAGATTGCTCTTTAGAGTGTTGAATAATTGACATCTCATAATGAAGCACCAGACAAGAACAATAAAGATGAAAAAGGATGCTTTATTGACATGATTATCTCACTTCTCTTCATCTCTGGAGAAAAGAAGATGGAAAAGTGAGAGAAAAGAGAGTGTGAAGGCTGAAATTTGGACACTGTCTGCTTTGAGCTCAGATGGCAGATAAGTAGAAACTAGGAGGGGTTCCTGCATGGAACCAAAATATCCCCCCTCGCTCAATGCTGAACTTTGAAATCCCATTATGAAAAACCAACAATGCAAAAATGCACAGTGCTCCTTCTATAACTAGACTCAACAGAGGAAAATATAAAAATAATGGATTCAAGGTGGACAACAAACTCTAAAACCAAGGAGAATGGAGAGAATGAGATAAAGTCTCTAAATTAGATAAAGCTCTGGGGGTAGGGACAGGGCAAACACAAGGAAAAATAGAGAGAGAGAGAGAGAGAGAGAGAGAGAGACATACAGACAGACAGACAGACAGATGATGTGGGGAAGAGGGTAGGCTTTTAAATGAAAAGCAGAAGTACAGAGATTTTTTAAAATCCCCTACCTTCACAGTTTGTGTGAAAATTAGCAAATGTGATAGACTGCATAGTTATAGACAAATCTCTACTTTTTTCTTTTGTGTATGCTTGAACATTTTGGGATGTGAAATCTATTTTTAATATATAGAAACAATTTATAAATTGAGTTAAGATGCTTAAGTTTGTCAGCAAAATCCATACAACTCATGGACCAGCTAAAAAAAATACACTTCAAATTTCAGGAAAGGTTAGTAGAAAACAATCCTATTCCAAAGACAGAATGAAAAATGAGTAGGAATGAGCTTGTTTTTTTCTTGAATCCTGGGTGATCATTCAATTAACTAAATCAACATTTAATAATAAAAAATTGTGCGTCTACAATGTGCCGGCTAGGCTATATATTAGTTCCTAGAGAGAAGAACAAAACAAACAAAAATTAACTCTTAATTTAGTGTGAGATACAGATACATAAATAAGCAATTGTAGTAAACATAATGCATGAAGCACTATAGTAAAAGTGTGTTCAAATTCTGGAGAACGTCAGAAGGGGTGATAGAAGCCTGCCCAGAGATGACAGTCAAGAACCGCAGGAAGTGACATTTGAGCTGACTTTTGAAGGCTAAAAAAAGGAGAAATGAGTTTTCAAGGTATGCTTGTAAAAAGCAAGTGATTATAGATGAAGCATCTGAAGACTTGTAATGATTCTAGACCTAAAGGCACTTTAAAAAATGTAGTCAATTTGTACCACATATTTGTCTTGCTTAATTTCCTTCAAAAGTAATGGCTTCAATTTTCTTAGATACTGGGTAACTGTCATTATCCTTGTCAGCCATGTTTTGGTTGTTTTCTGCTCATGGAAAGATAAAAGGGAGGGAGAATGAAGAGGGGAGTGAGGAAAAAGAAGCCAAAAGAAGACACAGAAAAAGCCTTTCCTGAAGGAATGGTTGAGTTTGCTAAAGAACAAGTGTGTGCATCTTCAACAAGCCTGAGTGAATACCATGTGTTAGAAACCCACATCATAGTGAGAAGACAGTTCCAATCTGCAAAAAGTTCCTGGTCCTGTGTGTGTGCATGCTGGTGCATCAGAGAGATCCACAAAGGTGAAAATGGCTAGTCATAAAAGAAGAAACGTGCAAAGTATGTCTCATATAAAAAAAAAAAAAAGAAATTCAAGGGAGAGTTGGTCTGTACAAAGGCCATCAAATGGCTCCATGGGCCCAGAACACTAGTTTGTGTCAAAGATGCAGGGGTAGAGGCAGGCAAGGGGGAGAGACTGTAGGATATGACTTTCCCTGCCATGCATGGAGTTTTGCAGGCCTGCGGAGTATAATTTTGAAATGCAACTCAGAGTCTAGCTAGGTCATGAGCAATAGAGGAGATGCTGCATGCTTGTGTGATAAAATTGAACTGGGGAAATCCATATGGAAGGCCCAGATGCAATAGACTATGGAGCTGCTCTTGTTGAAAAGGGAGAGAAAACATGCACTCCTGCCCGATTTCTCCATCCTTCTTTTTGCAGCAGCTTTGGAAGGGCTGCAGTGGAGCCTCCAGTTTCTGCAGAGTACAGGTGGGAAGCGTCATGGAAAGAACTTCTGACTTGAAGCCTGAAATCTGGGGTTCTAGTCCCAGCAGAAACATCAGGTACCTGAAACTCGAGCATGTCAATGAATCACAGTAAGCCTAGTCTAGAATGTCTGTAAAATAAGAAGAGCTAAAAACATCCCTAAAATATTGCTATTCCTCTTATTATGACCATTTTCTTTACAAAAACTGGGATTTCGTGGCATGAGTTCTGCCTGCATGTTCAAAGAATTTTATAAAAGTTAGAATCAGCAAGTTTGAAATGTAATATACTTTTTTTGTTGGTCTTGCATTTTGTCTCACTTTCCAACATCAGACAATGATTAAATAGCTTTGGTTTTAGACGCTATAGATATTCAACTCATCTTCATTAGTGAAGAAGGAGATGTTTGTGAACCACTATGAAGATGAAAAGTGCTGCAGGAGTGTTATTGGTATTCTAAAGTGGTTAACTTAATGGAACATTTGACCTAAATTTTAGAGTCTCAGCCCCAAAGAAGCAGTAAAGTGGTATAATAAAGGGAGGCTGGGCTAAGGGAGATATAAACTAAATTTATAAGCCTATATTGCGGGGATGCTTGCAGAGCCAAATAACAAGGGTAGGGGTGTAAGAAAAAGCAGAGGCAGTTTTTCTCTCCGAAAAATTGTTCTTACATCTGAGAACACACTTCTCATTGGAGAAGAAAAACTATTATCCTTTTTCTGAGTGGTGAAGCTCACATTTCAACAGATTCTTCTTATCTGCTTTACACTCTGTACCCCTCCTTCCTTCTCTCCCTCAAACATGGAGAGACTTTCTGTCAATTAAGAAATTCCAATCTACCACTCTAGTTTCCACCATTTAACAAAGATATCTAGCCATATAAAATGAACTGAGCTGGGAAAAACTCCACGTTCCACCAGAAGGTCAAATACCTGAAAATGAACCACCCAACCAAACCTATCTGTGGCTTCAGGACAGGAAGGACTGTACTAGGACCTCTAGATTCTCTAGACAATTGTTTCACTTGAGTCTGCCTAATGGTTTTCCTGTTCCCTGCAACAACCTTTATATCCTCACCTCTCAAGTCCTCTGTACTCTCCACCTTCAGTCGCTCTCCTTCTTTCCTCCTCCACAGAGAAAAATGAAGCTCTTCAGGCAGGCAAGATGAGTTTTCTTGGGGTGCTATATATATGCCAGGGACTGTGCCAGACATTTTATATGGTCCTTTCCTTATTTAACTTCAAAAACTCTTTAAGGCAGGTACTAGTGCCTGCATTTTGCAAATGGAAAAATTGAGGCACAGAGGTTTAGTCATTTGCCAAAACCCACATGGCTAATGTGGATTTGAAGCCAGATTTATCTGAATCTACCGTGAGACCGTATCAATATACAGAGTGGGCAGGCATTCAGTGAGTAGTTGAGTTAATGAATGAATGAATTCCCCTAAAATCATGCTCCTCTTCCCTAGGGCTCTTTCTCATTCCCCTGTTCATGTTTCTCTCCCATGGGTGGCCATAGCACTTCCTTAAAGATCTATTATCACATTTTTACCTTGTATTGCAGTCACCCACTCAATTACGAAAAGATATGGAAATGTCCTAAGGGTGCTCAGAAATAAGATGATGTATCTTCATTTATATGGTGGTCTATTTCAAAACTCTGATGAGCCTTTAAATGGATTGGCCTATCTAGTGGTGCTTGCGAACCAAGCAAGCTTACTACTCCTCACAAATCTGCTGTGTTCTGTTGGGATGCCATTTCCTTACCACTGGCAGAAGATTCCCATTGGCTTGAAACAATTGGGAGAAACATTCCCTTGAGTTATTCCATATGAGTGAAACATGCCAGGGGTAGCTGGGTCTAGAAACAAAGCATTTTTTTTCACAGAGCCTGAGTTTGAATGGCTACAAAAGAGTGATCTCAAGAGTTTTGTTTTTTTTCTCAATACAGACACCTAGGAGGTTCTAATATAACTGTTTTTGAATATCTTAGTAAGTACAGACTCACCTATGTTCTTTCACCATGGAGGAGCCTCCACTTATATTGAATTGTTAATCTAAGTACAAAGCACATTTTAGTTTCTATGTATTAGCATCTCCTTGAATAAGAAGCTAATTTATCATCTTTCCCTTTATTCAGTGGCCATGGTTAGTATGGATCAAAACCATTTTTCCTGTTTCTCCTGAATATTACTTTTCTGAAAATACCAGAGTTCATAGAGTCCCTTTTTTGTTGTTGGTTTTTAATAAAAATAACAGAATTTTCTGGTGTTTCAAGAATGGGAAATTTTGACATGGAAGAAAGGAAATACCAATAAAAGGAAGTAGGTAAACACCTTATAATCCTGAATTCAAATCGAAAGTATGAACTTGAACTCAAAAGTGTTCCATCTTACATATGCACACATACACATTGACTAGATCTGTCCACGAAAATGGTTTGAAACAATAACAAACTTACTAACAATGAGCACCAGTATGCCCTGACTGTGACGTTGAATTAATAGCATTTTCAGTCGAAAGGAACCAGGGTTGCTTGATGCAATGGATGTTTCTAGGTCTAATTCAGAAATTTATATCTTGTCATACCAAATAGCAAGGACACTATCAAAGACTACATCAAAAGGACTAAGGAGGTAGTTCTTGAAGAGAGTCCCATCAAAAAGATAAGTACAATGAATTAAAACACATCAAATGTGTTTTAAGCCCTTACTTCATAGTAGTAACGCTAAAAAAAAAATCCTTTAATTGGTCGCTGTTGGAGGATGTTAACAAAGAAATAATCATTTTGAAAACTAGTAAAGGAAAATAATT